TATTGTTCAGTTTAAATTTTTGATAACTATAGAATTTTATATCACTTTTCTTAGTTTTATATATTTAAGTAATATAAATGGACAGCAAAATGTATCTAAGATTATAATTTTAAATATATATATACATATATTCTTGAATATAATTTAAATAAAAAAATATTTTATCTTAATTTAATATTTATTTAAAACAAATCTATATTAAATATTGATAAGAAAATAATATTAATAAAATTTATTATTAAATATAATTTAACTTAAAAAATTTTATTGTACATGGTGCAGGAAAACAACTAGTTATTTAGAACTAATCAATAATCTAGAAAAAAAATCTGTGTGCAGAAAATCTATAGTATTATTTTGTTGTTAATAAACTTGGACGTGTTGGCCGAGAAACATCCACTTGTAGTATTCGTAATCCAAACGAGAATGTATCTGAATATGAGGGTTCCACCACGACAAGTCATCATTCTTTGTTTGATATGTGGGAGTGATTTTGGAGGTCTCTCTCCATTTTCAAATTCTATTTTCTCACCTTAACTTCAAACTTCGAGTTTTATTTTTTGGCAGCTGATCGAAATATCATATTTCCATAAGAATTGTTTTTTTTTTCAAAAATGCTTTGTAGCGAATCCATTAATGTTTTATCATTCACTAACTATAATTCAAATTCTCGTCATATGTGAACTATTTTAATTCATATAGAGAATAATTATGTTTGCTTCTCAAGTTGGCTTTCACACACCACAAGGAGTGTGAAGTCTGCATTATCAAGACCATATCGCTTAATCTACAATTCTTACTTCTTTGGGCGAAACAAAAGATCAGATTCATCTTAGGGTTTGATGAAATTTCTCCCTATTTGCTAATCATCTTGAAAATTGTTCAAATTAAGCCTTCAATTTGTCTTCACAAACTTGAAATCACGTGCTTATCCAACAAATGGGAATAAGTAATAATTAAAGTCTGGGAGCTAGATTGACCTAATTTATAAAGTTGAGGGTCTGGGGTGTGTGAACATTAAAGGGGTCCATTTGATGTTTTGGTCAAGATTTTTGAGCGTTCACGTGATTTAAAGGAAAAAGAAGGAGAAGAGACAGGCTTCAATATCAAGAGCTAAAAACCCAAAAACTTTAAATAAATAAAAAAAGACATTGACAGGTGATATGTTTGTGTAGTGATGAGTTTCAATGTACCATCACTTTTTCAGTTAGACCATCCCACATACTTTTTTTTTTTGGTGAAACCATCCCATTTACTTCCTTTACACTATACGACTCAATGATCAAAGTTATTAATGTCTTTAACCAATACATCCATTTAAGAAAAGGGAAATTGCATCCAATAACATTAAAAAAAAACAAAATTGAGTAAGTAACCAAAAAGACACTCTCTATCCCCTTATGTGTTCCTATCTCTCTCTACCATCTCTCTAGAAAACTAATTTTGCTTTTTTTTAGGTTATTTAACAAATAAGCCCAAATGTATATATATATCTGCATATTACTTCATTATCAGTGCTTCTCAAACCATTATGGACCAATTCGATGTTCCTAGTCCGACGTGACATAAAAGAATATGCTGGTTTCAACTATTTATGCTGATTTTATGCAAAATAAGAGATAAGTTAAGCACACAATCTAACGTGGTTAGAATCACCCAGTTCACATGTAAACATATTCTTCATATCCAAACCGTTTACTTGGCCAGCTTTAGAGTAATCAGCAGAACTCATGAAGGTCTTGAGATTATAGTATTTGAGACTATAAAAGATAATATATAGACAGTATATCTACATACTGTATGAACGATCTTTCCTAAGGACAACGCTATGCCTGAATATAGATTAGTCGCTGCCTTGTTAATTCGCTAAAAGTCTTATTTGTAGATACTCATGCCTGAATAAAGATTAGTCGCTGCCTAATTAATTCGTTAAAGGTCTTATTTATTGATCTTATCATTTTTGAGGGAAATAAAAGTAATTAGTCCTACAAGGTTTATCCAGAGAGCACCCAAAGGAACTTTTTAGTATAAAAAGGCGAAGCAAAACAAAAAAAAAAATAAAAAGAGTGAGCACATGGGAGGCATGGAGAAACTTTGGCTAGGATTCGAGTCTTGTTCCTGTTATGGAGTTCTTATAGTATGGGTCACTATAAACAGGATCACTTTTCTGTTTTCAAATTTGATTCTTTTTTTTTCTAATCCTAAATGTTTTTTTGTTAATTTTTTAAATTGAACATGCAAGAAAACAACAGGGTAAAATGACACTAGGGATCGAGATCCTAAGATTATATCTTTTTTATCTCCAGGATGTTGTCGGCCGATGACTAAGCTTATCTGATTTCATCAGGAATCGTTAGAATTATTATCCAATTCACATCTATTGTTGAGCCATTCGACATATCCTTTTAGATAATTAATGTATATGTTGTTACAAATAATATTCACAACAAACAAATTGGTATTTTAAAATTGAATTGAAGATAATATTAGTAGCTTTTTCGTCTAACCATGGATTTTTTTTGCCAACGGTGCGTTGTGGTAGTGATTTATTGCTTGAAGTTCGTTCCGTTGTGTCCATGATATGATTCTCATTGGAAGAGATGCTTTATGACATGTTATCGATATTAGCGTGTGGTTGATCCCAGACCTAAGAGAGATTAGGTCCTTAATACAAACTCCTCTCAGTATATAAAAAAAAACATAGAAATCTCTATGAGTTGCTTCACGCTACCATAACCAATCAAATCTCTTCAAAGACATCGAGATTTCAAGGATCAGCGTTATTTTCAATAGCTACTTCGGTTTTCACTGAGATCTCAAATCTGAAAATGATCAGACTTTTTGGGCTCCAAGAACTTCAATTTCTAGCATATACCGATATTAGTAGCTTTTTAGTCGAACCATAGAAAAAACTTTACCAACAGTGCATTGAGTGGTAATTTCAAAACTGTAGAGACTCTGGTAGTCGCTCGCTTGTGGATCAGATAAAATATCTTTCTATAGCTTTATCTACTGACATTGAGGACACAACCCTTTGGAATAAAGATGTGGATGAGTTTCAGGAGAGGTTTGCAGCCCATAATACATGGAATCTGATCCGCGTACACAAGGAGTTACAGACTTGGAGCAACATTGTGCGGTTCCCGCAAAATGTTCCAAGGTTTGCGTGTATAGCATGGCTTGCGATTAAAGATAGACTAGTTACGAGGCATCGTATGCGTAGTTGGGGTCAAGGCCAAGTTTGTGTGTGTCTTCTGTGGTGAACCTGACGAAACCAGAGACCACCTCTTCTTTGCTTGCCTTTATATCTTTACCCTATGGATTGATGTTGTAGGATCTCTAATGGTTATACACTTGGATCCTGATTGGTTCATCACACTGGAGCAGCTTGCTCACCGTTTGCATGACATGTTAACTTCTCTCTTACTCTGTTTGGCGTTCGAGGTAACAATTTACCACATATGGAGGGAGCGGAATGAAACGAAACATAACAACGTCTTGCGGTCTGTCCACCAGTTAACTCTTATCGCAGCCGCATTATGTTTACTAGATACTATGAGAAGCGCAAGCTGAGAGGACTCCTTCAAAGATGGTTCACCACTAGTCTAAGCATCACTTAGAACATTTTTTATTCTTTCATACAAAGTTATAGGAGCTGTATATAATCAATTTTCGGTTTTATGTTTTTGATGATCAATAAATTTAAAATTTCATCAAAAAAAAAAATGGTTCGATGGTTCAAAGCTAGTTTATAAATAAATGAAACTTGTAAACCAAGACTGTAATTTTGGAACATTTAAACAAAAACTAGTTTCTGATCCGCCCTTTAAACGGTGGGTGTATTTCTTATTTTTAGTGTTTATGAGAAATTTAATTTTTATTTTATGTTTCTTTGTAATCATATTAGATTAAATATTGATTTAATTTAATAAAAGTTTTGGTAACTTTATTAAATATGTCACATTGTATAACTATACACTTATACCATATATATTTTAGAAATTATTTTAAACGTTATTACTATAGTTTATAACATATTATATTTTCTTAGTAGTTACCTAACATAATGAATAAAGAATATTTATACCTAAAATTTGATTCAATAGACCCAAATATCAAAGTCTCATATATTATTAAACCTGGCGTACATACTCGAACGGCTCTTATAGTGTTATACCCGAGTACCAATATCAAACCTAACCCGCACATAAAACCGAACAAAATTTTGAAAATCTTTTTAAAAATTTTAATTTTTAATATTTTCTGTTATATATATGTATAAAAAACTAAATGTCATTAATAACCCGTTTCAGGACTAATTTATTAGTTAACTTTATCTATTATAAGAAAATTTATCTATTATAGTTACATTAATAAGAAAATATCATCGTAACTACATTAATATATAAAAAAAATTTAATATGTGATGAAATTTGAAAGGGTGGATAAAATTTATCATTGTCAAAGTTCCTGTTATATTTTTTGTTAAGAAATATTATTTATGAAAATGTAATCAGTATTTATAATTTTGAAACATCACATATATTCATCCCTAAATAATAATGTGTACGAAGTGCTGTATTTGAAAACATGTCTATTTACTTTGGGTTTGTAAAATCTGCGTATAATTTATAGGCCTCGTATATGTACCCATTTATAAATTTGGATTTGTACAAATTGTATATATAAATATTTTAAGTATTCATTTTCAAATAATAAACGTGGTTTTAGATGCAGTTATATAAAAATAATTGGACTCAATTATTATCAGTTATTATCAATAGAACATGTAATAGAT